GACTCATGGGTACGTGGGCATCTCAGTGAAGTACCTTTACGACTAGGTTTGCTCGCCAGTCAGCAATGTCTGGCCAGAGTACAGCAGCCCAGATGGGTTTACCTCTGCGCTGCCAGTTGCTCTGCTTCCACTGCTTTAACCACCCCCACAGAGCATTTGCCACCATCCATGAGTCAGTATAGAGATAGAGTATTGGCCACTTTTCTTATCCAGCAACGTCTAACGCCAGCTGGAAGCCTTTTAACTCTGCAAATTGACTCGATTCACCTTGTCCTTCAGCAGCTTCTGCAACTCATCATGTAGGACTCCACACAGCAGCTTTCCACCTTCGATGTTTTCCTACAATACAACAAGGTCCATCAGTGAACAGAGCATACTGTTTCTCATTATCTGAGAGTTCATTATATATCGTGGGGCTTCCTCAGCACGTGTCACCACCTCCTCTGGTGGCATTCCAAAGTCTTTGTCTTTGGGCCAATTTGTGATCACTTCTATGATTCCTGGACAGTTAGGGTTTTCTATTCGAGCCCCCTGCGTGATTAAGGCAACCCACTTATTTCAGGTAGCATCGGTGTCATGATGAGGAGAAGGAACTTTACCCTTGAACATCCAGCCCAGTACTGGTAATCGGAGCTGCACTTCAGTATCAATTGTTGGAAGATTCCCCATTTTCCTCCCCAAACCTTGTGGTTTATATCTCCTGATTCTGTGAGGGTGCAGGATTATGCCTGAGTGGATTACATTATCTGGGATATTTACCTCTGGTGGTATGATAGCTAAGTCTCTGTTGCCAATTTGTGATGTCTAGCGCTCGAAGTCACGCGAATAGTGGTGGGATGGGACTCAGGGCATTTTGTTTGTTAAGGGCCATTTGGTTTCAGTTCTTATATGCAATCTTGAGACAACCCCGGGCTGAGCCGTTTTGCATCTCCCCCCGAGTTATCTCTGCATAGACAAGGCAAGGAGGAGATGAAGCTGAGTCGGATGACAGTTCCCTGCATCTCACCTATTGTGCTCTGAAACTGGTTTGGCTGGGTGCTTCCATACACTGACGCCAAGGCATGGTATGCAGAAAGGCTCCTGCTTATACTTATTGCTGTAACGACCAAGGCCAGCTAACTTTTGTTATTTACCCCGTTGGAGGGCCAGAAGCGGAAAAGCGTAAAGGGGTCCCACCTGCATGGAGGAGCGGACAGGACAGGTGACCCAAAACTGACCAACAGGGTATTCCATCCCATCTGCCTCATGCTCAGTATAAAAGTTGAGGGATCAAAGGGTCAGCACTCTTTCTTCAAAGGCCAGTGACATGATTGTCATCCTGGGAGCTATCATTTTTGTATATTCTTTTATCAGTACTATTGTTGTTGTTTTTCTCTTCCTTTGCTGTTCTGTTAAACTGTCTTTATCCCAATCCACGAGTTTTGCCTTTTTCTTCCAATTCTACTCCCCATCCCACCGGGAGGGGGAGGAGTGAGAGAGCAGCCGCGTGGTTCTTTTTTGCCGTCATCTTTGTATTTCGGGAGCCATTTAGCAGAAAGTATTAATAAATACACTTCTTACCTTTTCTCCTCGGAGAACCAATCTGTGGGGGAGACACCTTCCTTCACCTTCCCTTTCTTCTCCAAGCTAATTACAATAGCCCTTGAGAATTTTGAATATCCTTGTGATGCTCAAACCAGCATGGTCCTATTGCCATGTCTCCTGAATGTGTTTCTGGTCTTGAAATTGTTTAAAGTTAACAAGCAATCTAGGAATATGACCCAGGATCCTCAAGAGTGTGGTCAACAGGCATCACAGTTACTCCACCCCCCGCAACAGACACTGCAGTCACTCCAACCCTGGTGACAGGTACTGCAGTTACTCCACCCCCTGCAATCAGCACTGCAGTTGAACTAGAGAACCCACCCGTGCTGGTATCAGTCGTCCCTATACAGAAGAAGAAATACACAAATAAATCAGTTCACTTAGTAAGAGATGACGATGAACCAGGGTCATCACAAGAACAGGAGGAAGAGGCAGAACCAGAGATAATCACCCAATCCCTATCCCCAAGTGAGCTGTGATATATGCGAAAAGATTTCAGCCATCATTAAGGAAGATTCTTAATTTTTTAATTATTTTTATTTTATTTTATTTTCAGTTATTAAACTGTTTTTATCTCAACCCATGAGTTTTCTCACTTTTACCCTCCGGATTCTCTCCCCCATCCCACCGAGGGGGGAGAGAGGGAGCTGCTGTGTGGTACTTAGTTGCCGCTTGGGGTTAAACCATGACAGAACCATTAAGCATAGTGTTTACCTTACTGAACACATTGGGGTTAGAGATCAAAGGAGGAAGTATAAAGTCATATTTCTATAAATGCAGCTGACCCCTGTTACCTGAGTGACCTTTAGCTTAAAATAAATTCTTCAACACAAAGTAGGTTTACTCATCAATATACAGCATACTATTTATGTGACAAATGATCTCTGAGCAAAAAAGAACAGTTGTCAGCACAAATTATATAGCCACCAGTCTATTGAGACACATGAGGTTCTTCTATAATTGAGACCAATTTCAAGTAGTAGAAAAAGGATAGCAACAAGTAAGAGTTTGCACAGTGGATTTAGAATACAGGTTTTTTTTCTTTTGGTGCAAAGCTAAAAAGACTTTTGCATGATTTTGATTATCTCTACTTTATCTTAAATTCCAGATTCAGTCAGTCTAATTATGGTAGAAATTAGCAGCATTTTGCAGATACTTCAGAGGGTTCCATAAAATTATTTCACTCATTTCAATACCGTCTCTATTCAATAGATATCTAGGTTACAAAATTACCACTATATTTAGTGTTTTTGTTGATTATCTTAACAGAGCAACTGACTTCAATTTCAGTAGCCCTCTGGAGGAAAAAATGCATCGAGTTCCACAGTAAGAGAACATTCTAGCATTAAGAGAGACCTTACAAAAAAGTAAAATTATGGAAATAGAAATTAATCCTGTGTCCCTCAAACCAGGACACCAACTGTGCCTCTTCCCTCATCTTCCCCCACCCCACCCCTACACTTCCCGCCCCCACCCCCCAGTGGCACAGGGGGGATAGAGAATGGGGGCAGTTACGGTCAGTTCATAACAGTTCCTGTCTGCTGCTCCTTCCTCCTCACGCATTTCCCCTGCTCCAGCGTGGGTCATCTCTCTGAGCCGCAGTCCTTCAGGACAAACCTGCTCTGGCATGGGTCCTCTCCACAGGCTGCAGTCCTTCAAGAAAAAAACCAACACGGTTTGAGTGTGAGTTCCCCATGGGCTACAGTTCCTGTAAGGAGAACCTGCTCCTGTGTGGGCGCTCCATGGGCTGCAGCTTCCTTCAGGAAATATCCAGCTGCTCCAATGTGGGGATGGCCATGGGCTTCAGTGTGGATATCTGCTCCAGTGTGGTCTTTTCCACGGGCTGCAGGGGAATATCTGCTCCGGCACCTGGAGCACCTCCTCCCCCTCCTTCTTCTTTGACTTTGGTGTTCACAGAATTCTTTCTTGTGCTTTTCCTTTTTTTTTTCCTCGGCTCTCACTGCCTGTGCAGTGTTTTTCCCTTTCTTAAATATGTTTTCACAGAGGCACCACCAGCTTGGCTGATTGGCTCAGCTTCAGCCAGCAGTGGGTCGGTTGCAGAGCCGGCTGGAACCAGCTGTTCCCAGCACAGGGCAGTCCCTTACCTCTTCTTGCAGAGGCCACCCCTGCAGTCCCCCACCCGGCTACCAAAACCTTGCCACATACACCCAATATAAATCCAAACTTTTATTCAAAGTGGATCTTTAAATCTGATCTGGTTTGTAAATAACATGGGTAACATTAGAATAGTAGTAGACCACCATAGAAAGGCTTGTGGATACTTATCCCACACAAATTACCTGATCAGATTTTTTTTTTCAACATCCTAAAGTGACTGTATTTATTTGTGTTTCCACATATTCCACCGTCGTTCTGTTCTACCAGAAGTGAATCTCTAAGGTAAGTCGGTTGCAGAAAATGCGTGTATTTATTAATTTTTGATTGATTATAGTTTTTCCTGGCTTCAGTAGCCCTCTGGAGGAAAAAATGCATCTAGTTCCACAGCAAGAGATAGGCCTAAACTACTATTACTAGTAATAAAATAATTTACAGTCAATTGTAGTTACTAGAACTACTTCAAAGCAACTCGATTGTACTCGGTTCACTTGTTTGAACTGATGGGTACTTCTACGATCTTTGAGGTTTTGTCATGACCTAAAGGGTTACCCAGCCTGCGGGTGTGTAGAGATTGTGACCGTGGGTTCATAGGATTCTGTAATACACAAGAACACAGAGGCTTTTAGCCTCTAAATATCTCAACTTTATTACAGATTACCACAAATACCACACAAATCACCACTAGCAAGTATACCTATGACAAATAAAATGAATATATATATCAAGCCATTACAAATTACTATCAGCAATCAATAATACCAACAATAGATATTATAGCAATAACCAATTACAGCAACAACCAAGTAGGCATATACTATTACAGGTTACTACAAACTTATCCTTAGTGAAGCAAACTTATCAGCAACATAAAAGCAGACATACTTATGATAGATTACTTATATGGATAATACTGGTATCAAGTGAATTAGATCTCAGAAGGGGCAAAACCATCCCAGAAGTGGGAGGACAAACCGAACTGCCCCTAGAAGTGGGCCCAGAGGGGGACCAAGAAAATAAAAAAGAAAGTTCATGCAGAGAGCTCAACCTGTTTAGGAAAAGTACGTGCAGCACAGGAAGTTCTCAAGAGAGAGAAGCTCCATTTTGGATGAAAATTAAGTCATTTTTATATCACAGAGACATAAGAGGCCATGGGACATACTTTTTCGAGCAGCTGATAGATGCTGTTAATTTCTGGTTTTCACCTGGAACAGCCAATAGATGATGCTGTTTTCTGTTCTTTCAGACCAGTTTTTATTTTTCCAGACTGTTTTTCTGTTCTTGCAGTTAGACCAGCCAATGGCAGTTACCGATTCCTGCTTCCTCAGGATGTTTCCCCCTTTTTCCAGACTATTTTTCACCTTTTCAGACAATAAATTGCTGTTACAGTTCTATGTTTATGCTCTTATCAATGGTATCTCAGGATGTCTCTGGTTTCAAGGTACCCAGCTGTACTTCAAAGATGCCAGCTGCACTTTTCAAGGATGCTTTGGGTTCACAGGCCTAGTTCCCAGGCTGCCAGAGGATTTCTTCTGTTCAGTAATTTCCCCCTTCTAACCAGGTCACCTTTATGACTGCTCATATCAGGTGTAATAACTACAGTATTTGGACCACTCAGAATTATTTGGTGTATTGAGAGT